AGTGATAAGATAAATTTTGGCAACTTGGCTTTCCATGTAAAAGGATACCTTAAAACAAATGAACATATCTGCAAGCAAGCAAACACTCACACAGGAGGAATTATTTGTTTTGAACTGCTTACTTAGCATAAGTAACTTGATCAACTAATAAGACCAGATTAATTCTATAAATCTCAGAGTATTTTTTATAAACTAGTGGTTAGGGAGAATTGGGATTTAAAGAGGATCTTAAGCATTTTTATGTTCCTAATGCTTTCAATCATTTTAAGTCCTTGAATAAATTTCACTGAATAATATTTTCTGTATGTAATATATCATTTGTTTAAAGAGTTGGGATTTTTTAAAATAGCAAGTTAATTGTAAACAAAAAAAGTTCTTAGTGTTAGCACCATTTTTTTTGTTAAATAATGTCTATTTATTTGGATCACATTAATAAAGTCCATTGTTATATGTCTTCGCGGTTTGGGGAAAATTCCAAATTTACATCTGGGGATCCTTGTCAAGTTTTCCCACATAAAATGAATGAAGAAGGGAAAGAGAACAATAACACAGTCAATAAAGTTGATGAGCATGACAGCTTACATGGTGGGGACACAAAAGGCTTTGTGTACACCTGGAAAATCTTGATGGTCCATGTCTTTTGACTTTGTGATTTGTTAAAGCTACTTGGGAAAATCATTAGGACTGGACATTTTTCCAATGTAGTGAGGCCAAGTTCTATTGCATTTTACATTTGCTTTTTGAATTCACTTGTTTTCTGAAGAACATATTCCCCAGAAATCTGAAGCTCTTTGTGACTGTGGATCATGTGGGAATTTTCATCCAGGGGAATGCACAGGGCTGATGCTCTTGTACTTTGGAACCCTTTTCCAAGGTTTTGGGGCACCTCATTTAAAGCAAGAGACTGTAAGCCTCAGATTCAGTGATTCTTAAATATGACATCACATAATTTGTAACTAATAATAAAGTATCAATTTTAGGAATAAAATTTTGCTTCAGGCAATGAATGCCTCTCCAACCAGCTGCATTAAGATACCTTCCTTGAGAGAAAAGGAGCAGAGTATTCTCTGTCCTGGAAATTCTTTATTAATGCTTTGGCAAAGGCCAGGAATATCTCTGCCATGTCTGAATGTCTATGTCTACCCTACAATTCATGTTGAAATGTAATTAATCCCCAATATAGTAATATTAAGAATTGGGGTTCTTTGGGGGGTGATTGTCAGGCTGACCCTATCACAAATGAGAATACTGCCCGTATAGAAGTGCAAGAGAGCTTTTTCATTAATGCTTCAAGCATTAGAAGATGCAGGAAGAAGCTACCATTCATGAAGCAGAAAACAGGTCCTCAGCAGACACAGTCTTCTGTTGCCTTGATCTTGGTTTTCTCAGCTTCCACAACTTTATGCAACAAATTTCTTTTGTTTATAAATTTCTCAGTCTAAAGTATTTTGTTATAACATCTCTACTGGACTAAGCATCATATATATGTGAACACTGTCCATGTTCTATGTGCTGCAGTGGAAAAAGAACAAGGTTCCATTATGCAGGCCCTGATGTACTTCAAAATAAGCTTTGCATGATTTTTACTCTGATGAGTCCCATTAATCTACGGTCAGAATGGTCTCAAGGCACCGAGCAAAGTGCCTTTGCCAAAGCAACCTTACTATTGTGGGTCTAACCTGCACATTTCACTTTATTGTTTTACTCTGAAAATGCAAATATGTGACAAGTCTTGAATTAAAAGGCCATTGCTATACAGAAGATATGAGATTGTTTTAAAGAAGTGGATAAAAGGCTTCCTGAAGTGTTCCCTTGCCAGGCATGTGGCAGTGAGAGGGGGCAGTACTACCACAGGTGACTTAATGGGAAAAAATGAAAAAGGATTGTTTCTATTGGAAGCCTTTTATTTAATTGAAAAATTCACATATGGACAGAGCAGGGACTGTTTTGAATACTTATTTCCTTGGTACATTCATTTTTATTTAAGATCAGCAATCAGGAAATGGAGATGTACCATATATAATCTCCTCATCATGTTTTTACTTTTGTTAGGGGTGAAAAACACATTTGCAAAAAACAAACCAAAAAAGAAAAAAAAAAAGAAAGAGACAGAAAGAAAAACCAACTGTGAAATGGCCTGGTTTAATTCCTTGGGTCACTAGAAAACATTTAATGAAAGGATTCTAATTTATTGGTGCATTGAGGTTAGTTTAGTTTGAGTCGATTTTTGTGATGATTTTGACTGAATTAATTAGTCTATAATTGACTAACCCACTAAATCAATCAGTGAAAGTAGTAAACTAAATTTAAATCCTTAAACTATGAATGTGGAATAATCTTTTAGTTTATGAAACAAAACACACATCAACTTTCTAATATAATGTGAAACAAATTGAGAATGTAATAAAATCTAGAAAGAAAAATATTGGAAATCCCTCTGTTACATTAACTCTGTAAATTGAAATACATGTACCACTAAGAAAACTGTGTTAGAATTTGAGAATACCACAGACAAGGGATCAGAAATCTTTCTGTAATGAGGCAGAGAGTAAATACTGTAGGCTTTGCAAACCATATACAGTAGTTTTGTTTCAACCATATGACTGGTTATAGTGTAAAACAGCCACATGTAAACAAATGCATGTGGCTATATTCCAATTAAACTTTATCTATGGACACCAAAATAGAATTTCATAGAATTTTTACATGTCATGAAATATTATCATTTTTTTTCAGTTAAAAATAATTCTTGAAGGGCCAGGGATTTAACCCAGTGGTGCTGCCACCTCCCTCAGCATGAGGTCCGGAGTTTAATCCCTGGTACCAAACCAACCAACCAACCAACAAACAAACAAAAATCATTCTTGGCTCACAGGTCAACCAAAACAAGCCTGGATTTGGTCAATGGGCCATGGTTTTTGCTCACCCTTGCTAATGAGCTGTAGCAGTAAGTTATGACTTTTAAGATATATCAAGAATATGTGACTCATTCCCTCATTAAAGTGGTGAACAAAATGCAACACTTACAAAAACAGTTTATCCTGTGTCTATTGAGGAAACAACTAAACCTACCAATACTATGGATCATTCTGCAAAACTGTCTTGGACTCTCCAGAATTTTCATTGTTATGAAAGACTACAGAAAGAAGAATGAAATCACAGGAAATTATTCAGGATTAAGACAACACGAAAACTTTAAGCAGTTACATGGTCTTTGGTTCCTGGATTAAAAGAAAAATAAATGAAAAAGGCCATTGTTTGGGAATTTAGAGAAATTTTAATATGGATTGCCAGATGATAGTATTGTATCAATGTTACATTTCTTCATTGTAAAGATGGCATTGTAAGACTTGTAGAAAAATGTCCTGGTTCTTAGGTGATGTATGCTGAATTCTTACAAATGAAGTGTTACACACTACACAGGCATGACCACCCTGTGGTCTGCATGTTGGACTAGAAATAGTAGGTCATTTCACCCTGTTTTGGTATTTTCATCTAGTTTGTACCCATGAATTATAGAATGGGTAAAAGTTAAATTGGATGAAATAATAACAAAATCATCAAACTCAGGTTATTAAAAGTCTTAAATTTAGATTGTTCTCTTGTTACCTAAGAGGTATTATTTATTCAGTAACCAAAATTCTGAAAAATACTTTTTTTCTGTAATTAAAACCCCTTCACCACCTCAAGAAGTCAGATCCAAATTATTGTGCATACTATCTTGCGCACCAGATTTCTGAAAAGTAGATAAGAAACAAAATAAATATGGTCATAGATGTCATAATCACAATATTCAAGGACATGAAAGGCACTTTCAAGAGAAAAACTGTAAACCCTTTGGAGATGGATACCATGTTTTAGTTGCCTTTGTATATCTGATGCCAAACACAGGTCCTCATACAAGTAACCATTCAATGAATGCTGAATGACAAAGTGAATACAAGTAAATGAATATATGAATAAATGAATATGGACCCTGCTTTCTATGGATATAGGCTAAGTCTGGATTCAACATAAGGAAAAGATTCAAGATGACTCTAGCACTGGACTGGGTCACTGAAAGAAGTCATAAATTCTTACTTATTTATTTGTTTATTTATTGAAATTTACAATAATAGAATAAACATATATCTTGAATATATTTTTAGAGAAAACTTAGCACTTCAATGTCCACTTTTCTACATGTATTATGAAGACAGTTCCTCGGTTTGTAGGATTCTGTCTGTTAACGTTCAATCAAGTTGAAATGGATCTGAAAATCATGACACATGAAGGGCGGCTGGAGAAACAGTGGTGGGAAGAGAATAAGTAACTGGTCTCAGTTATCTTCAGGACTGCCATGAAAAATGGGAGGAAGAATACTCTGAGCTCCTCTGTAAGACCGAATGAGGATCAGTAAAAGTGGGTTAGGGGCACTGTGCAGCCTTTAGCAGCCAACGAAAGAACATTTTAACAGAGACACTCTCAGCAATGGAATAGTTCACCTCTTGCAGATAACAAAACACTGTCACGGGCAGAGTTGCAACTGTTTTTAAGGGTAACTGGGGCAGACACATCTACAGGACATGTGCAATTGAGGCTATTCCATCTCTGAAAAGGTATTGTTCACTAAGCCAAAAAGTCACTGGAAAAATCTGTTGTCATTACTAAGAATTAATAAATTCTTAATTAATAAATTAATTAATAAATACTTTCAACATGTCAAGGTCTTCTATGAGCATACAACAGATAAATAGAACATTGTGGTTAATTCATTCTTTGAATGTTTTACCAATCGATACAGGCGCGACATTAGTTACTATCCAAGAAAAATTTAGATTATCTTAGTATGTAAAATAATACCATATCTCAACAGCAGTCCAAAATACTCTTAGGTGTTTCAAAGACTCTAGGATTTATTTTTTCTCTACATGCCAGGTCACTGTTTCTGTGTACTCTATTATAATCTCAAACCTAGCTTATTTTCTATGGCTGCCTCCTAACTAGACAATTATTTCTAATCTCTTCCCCCTGTAATCCTCTGGAACACTCCAACTCGATGTCTGCTACAACCCTTTTGGAACAAATTGCTAACTATTCAAAAGCCTAGAATGAGTCACCCATTTAGAAATATTCATGGGAAAGATTAGAATGGGCATAAAACTAAAAATAGTTATTAAAAGGGTAGGACTTTAGGTAAGCAGTGTTTAAATGTTCTTGGTGGAGTGTCAATAAAGTTAATTATAAATAAAAGCAGGTGCAAAACAAAGACTCTACAAGGATCCCTTACTACCTAACGTACCACACACAAAAGTTCCAATTTAACTTTCTAAAAGAGCCTTCACTAAGTTCTCTCAATTGACCTTTTCTCTTACTACCTTTGCAATAAAGCTCTGCTAATACTTCACTGTCAAACTTTCTGCTCTCCCCTCTCACTCTTCTTCCTTGTCCCTCTTTCAGGGTTCTTATTTCCATTCTATTTGCTCTCTTCATCTCTACGACAACTACTGCATGCCGTCTGTGTGTTCACTCTATCCCTAATATAGGTACACCTCCTGGGGTAGGGCCTTTGTTCCTCACCATATTCCCTGAATCTGCAATAATGCTTTGCAAGTCAGATGTTAAAGAACTATCTGTTGAATAAATGATTGTCATTTCTGTGACTACACGAACCCCTAACATTCTTTCCCTTTTTGAAATCAGGTATAAATTGATGATATGTTGTGGGTGATTTTTTATTGCATTATATCTTTTTCTAGTCACTTTCATGTTTTAGTGTAGGTTTCTCAAGTTAAGATATATGTCATCCATGTTATTCAATACCTTTCAGCAAATTTTTATTGAATACCTACTATGGGTCAGGCACTTTAGTAGAAATTAAATACAGTTAAAAACTGTATTTAACAAGAGTCTGTGAAGCCCAAATGGAAGATTTCTCTGCTGATTTCTGTTACACAAAATAAATATACCTGAAATCTATGGTCTAAATAAAAATAATAGTAAAATTTCTGTACTTTCACACCATCTTTTTATCAAACCTGTTTAAAATAATTATTTAAAATAAATTAAGACATACAAGATATCCTGAAATCTAACAATAAACTATTAGTAAATGGAAATTAAAAATCTGGTATAACTTTGAACTGGTTTAGGAGAACTGGCCTTTCATCATTTATTGTTTCAAGATCTCTCTAGAGGCCAGAAAGATTTTGAAAATCATAAAGGTTTCTTAGTCTGTATTTTTGCGTATTTTGGAAGCTACTACATGTTATATTTTCCTAGATGTGACAATTTGGTAAAGACACAGGTAGAAGAGATCACTAATTTTCCTTTTCCCCCAATAGACTTTTTATTATGCCAATTTTAATTATCATGCACTCTAATGGATTTAAGGCTTATATGTTCCACATCACTAGACGTTACAAACATGAAAGCGTTTTATACTGTCATTATACATCAGTGTTTGTACTTGGTTATACATATATACAGAAATTATTCACACATCTTAACCTTGCTATTTCCTCCTTTCAAACCAACATAATTTTATGAAAGCAGCTTTTTAATAAATGGTATAAGAAATACAGCAAGGCACACTTTAAAAAAACAACTTTTCTCATTATCACCTCAAGAAGCATAAAAACCAAAAATGTTGTACATAATTTAATAGCAGAATGTAACCAGTTTATAATATACAACACTATTATAGTTGTTTCTTGAAGTGCTGCATAGATTATTATTAAAATTAAATAAACAGAATGGTGGTTTTGACAGTTATTTAATTTTGAACGAAGGGCCAGTGTTTCTTCTCTATGCTGCAATCAAATCAAATGTTGGCTTTTTAGGTAAACCTCTTTTAATAAACATGGGCATCATACCATAAAAATATCCAGATTGAAACATGAAATTGGTCAAGTACTGATCAGGGTATCATTCCAGACAGGTGTGTTTAATGGACCATTAACTGGATGAACAGAAGAACTTTAAAGAGCAGATGGGGAGGGAAGGAGGCAAACAGAAAAGTCTTGCTGGAGAGGGTCGGTAGAGGTAGCTTGGGACAGGAATCCATGGGAGAACAAGCAGCTTTGCTGAACCTCAAAGGTGATCACCTAAAGAGAACCAGTGCACACATTCAGATCACAAGGCTCCTGTGGACAAACCGCATTCGGAAGTCGATTCATCTTGGGAAAGTCAACATGACAAACAGCAGTGAGGATGTGACGAAACTGGAGACTAGCCCAGGGCAGGAGGACAAGCCAACCCTGAGTTGCAGTCAGATTATCTATAAAATACAAAAATATGACAAAAAAGTTTCAGAAATGTCTTTTTCATTTGCAAAACCAAGCCCTTTGAGGAACCTCTGAAGGCTGCCATTTTGGGACTAACTACTGATGTTCTGAAATAAAAGGATGCACAAAATATAAATAATTATTTCAATAGCCCAAGGTTCACATTACTTACAAAAAATATTTCAGCAGAGCTTGAAAATATATTTTTTTCTTTTTACAAAAGACAATATCAAAGAAAACAAGAAAAATCAGATTTGAACTTTTCTCTGGGTCATTTCTTTGGTGAGTGACTAGGTTGTAAATACTCCAGATGGCTTCAAATCTATGTAAAAATGTGAAACACCCAATGACAAGTGATTCGGGAAAGTATTAACAATGATACAAAGACTGAGAACCTGCTTCTCAGATTTCAGCCTTCTTTCAATGCTCTTATGTGTGATCTTGAATAACTCCACTACTAACACAGTGGTGAAATATTCATAATATGATAATCCTAAATGTCGCAGCCCCTTACCTAAAAAAGATATAATTAAGACTTCTGGCTCAAATACTAATGCATTTCACTTAAAGTACACATAGCATTGTGGAAACGAAACTGATTCCATTATTTTAGTACATCTTATGGCTGGTACAAATTTGTTTCAAACACAGTCTGTTCTGCCTATTTCTAAATAGCTAAATGCAACTGGCCAAATGTGAGGGTTATCTGAGTTCTAGGTTCAGGCAATACAGGAAGCAGTTACTTCATTTTTTCTCACCACCTCTCAAAGCAGGCTTTTGCTTGTCTGGGTTTAAACTATGTTCTGAAGTCTGATATCAGGTTGTTTTTTTTTATTGCCCATCTAGAGCTAAATTTTCTCATTCTCTCTGTCCTGCTTTATCATTTTTCTATAATCTAGCAAGTTATATAAGATCCAGAAAAACATTAACAGAAAAGGGCTTGGCTGGAGCCACAGAAAACTGGGGAGGAGAGATGAAGTTAACAGGAACAGCAGGAGACAGACAGGAACAGATGTACCAAAATGTGGTACAGTAAAATAATGCAGTAACTCAAGAAAGCACAGTACACATTGTTCAAATGCTAAAGACATGACTCATCTAAAATCTGGCCACTGAATAGGGAATCCTTAGGTGAGGCAAATCTGGTCTTACTAAAGTAAGCTGGCATTTAAATTCTCTCTAGATAATCAATTCTTTCACTGTGGCCTACTTGGAAACAGGCAAGCCAAACTGGCTGAGGCACAAATCTGGTGTGTGTGAGAGAAGGAGAGAAGGGGGAGGAGGAGATGGAGGGGGAGAGGCAGAGGGAGGAGGGAAGAGGGAGATTATGTCCAATAATATCTTGTCATTTACCATGGTGGGTCTAGTTATTCAGAAGTGCTGGGTAATTAAAAAACACATCTAGCATAATCTTGACTAAAGCGCTTCTCTAGTTAAATTTGATAAGATTATATCTGTATGGTCTAGTTAAAAAAGAACATACAATCCAAAAAGTAGTTTTCTGTTTTATTTTTGTTTCAGACAGGGTCTCACTTTGTAGCCCAGGCTGCCTCAAACTCTCAGGATTCTCTTACCTCAGTCTCCCAAGGGCTGGGATTACAGACGTGTGCCACCAAGCCCGGCTGAAAAGGTAGTTTCTTAGAATTGGTTGGGAAATATCACTCAGTGTCACCCATTTAATAGAAGAGTAATTTGTGCTGTATACATCAGAAATGTTTGCTCTTACAGATTTCTTGATTTGAAAAACTCAGCAGCAGCACTTTTAATAGTGTGTGTGTATATATTGGGGCATATATGAATACAAATAATTGCCTAAAATCTACAGGACACCAACACACACATTCATAGACCAATAAAGTAGGAAAGACATTGAAGCTAATGAGTTCTAAAGAAAATATATGCATTCCATATAATGCAGCTCTCCACCCTAAAAAAACAATCTCTTTTTCACACACACACACACACACACACACACACACACACACACACACACACCCCACACATTGGCTGCATGTGATGAGTTAAATTTTTATATCATAGGATTTATCTAGCTTGAAGTTTAGGGTTAAACCATTCATCAAAGATCAGAGGCTTATGATGAGGATTATGAAGAAATAACTGTCAGAATACAGCAAAAAGATTAGTGCAAAGTACATCTCTTAGGCAGATCCTAGGAGGCACTCCAGACATACATTATGTGCTTCCTCCAAATTAGGCAGAAAGGGCTGGATCTATCCAGCTACCTTGCCTTTGATGTGATTTGTTGCAAGTGACCTCTCTATTTTTACAGAAACATGACACATAAATGAAAATAGTGAAAAGCACAGCAGTGTGTCTGGAAATCAGTGCAAATGTATACTGTTAGATCGCGTTAAAGCTTCTCAAACAGTTTCAGCAGGCTTTTAATTAGAACACAGTAAATGAAAACCTTTTCAAAAAATTTTTGAAAACAATTCATTACTGTTATAGACTGTATTTTCTAATTTATATTTCTTCTGGATGGAATTATAATCATTTCATCATCATTTCCTGGGGGGAAAATCCAGAAAACTGAACTTGGTGAATTGTTTTTGTTTTGATAAAAAGAAAATTCCAACTGACGTTTTTCAAATGGGTTTAAAAAAGAGCTTTTTCTTTCACTTTTTCAAATCTTGCAATAAATATAACCTCCACAATACTCTTCTATATACATGAAATCTTATATTTACCAAATAACTTTACTATATATTCCTGAGTTAAATACTGAAAGGTTGGTTGCCACTGGCCCTGGCTGATTGTACTTTAACAATATGTGAACATTTACATTCAGGAATCCATTGCTAACAGCTAGAGGAAAATTCAGGCATCCAGATGTTTTGTCCACATGACACTGAAGGACCAAAACAAACAAAAAAAAAATCCTGAATAACACCACTAAATATGGCTATTTGAACATCTCCAGGCTGATAACAGGTCACTTGGGGGCGGTGTAAGTTCTGCAGAAGTAAAATCTGGTTGTTTCCTCTTTGCCCAAGATAGTGCCAGGTGTCACTGGGGTTCAACAAAATATTGCTGACTGGCTGATATTTTTACACCGTACCTGCTTGAAAATATGAGGACTGCACAGATACATCAGCACATTCACTTCTCTGGTGTCTGAAGATGGAGGAGCTCATTATTTACATTTCATTTCAATTCTATGTCTCCTCAAGGAGAGACAACACTTCCAGAGGATCAAAAAGGCAGAACGCATCTCAGAGGTTTCTCCAGTGCTGGAGCTTCTGGAGCTCTGAAGCCCAGCACAACTGGCGACTTCAGGGTCACACGATGCTATGCTCAGAGTGGTGTTGCTTTCATACTTTTATCCCCTTTCAGAAAGCAAAACAAAATCAGCCAGGCTCTACCAGTCTTTCTGTGGTGGTTGGCAGAGCCGGCCGTGCAATCGATTCTAATAGAACTTGTTTGGAAGCAGCTTATGGAATTGCAGTTACTCTCCCTTAATGGTCAGTTTCACTGCATACTGATGGAGAATGTGATTACAGGGTGGACGCCACTCACAGAAAATGCATTTATCTCTCTCTACTTTTGTTCTCACTTGCAGCCAATTGTAAACAGAGTCTAAAACATGGAAAATTAGTTGAGCTCTGTTAGTACATGGGATGCCTTTCTTCAATTTTGCATACTGAATTTATTTTTAGGGTATATATATGATATAGATTCCCCCTCACTCCCCATTTCTAACAGCTCTACATAGAATTACACATTTTAATGAGCTTAGGGCACAGGTGTTGCAGGAAAAAAAATAATGATGTTTGCCATTCATCTTTCAAATTAAATAATGTGTTTTTAAATAGTAACTTTTTTCATAATACATTATGGGAACAACATTTATCTGTCACATTTTAAAAGATGTATTTGTAATAAATGTAAATTACTTTTAGAAAATCAGTAATTAGGCTCATCAAAAAATAAACAATCTGCCACAAAAAAGATAATCTTTAGCATAGTTAAGTATAATAACTGTTATTTGAATAAGTTAACAAATTAGGGTAGATTGCTTCTGTAATTCATTTCCTATAGCACGAGTTTAGGTTACAGCATTAGGCTTCTGCAGTGGGGGGTGGAGATGGCATTAGGCACTTTATACTTTGGTGAAATACAACTCTCACATTTGAAAGCTCAAATTTTTTCTTTAAACTTGATTGAGAAAGCATATTCATCACTGGGACTTAGAAATGAGAAATAACAGAATCTTTGTGTCACTTTTAGAGATACATCATCATCTCAGAATTATCAATCAATAGCTGTCTTATTAAATATGAAGAGTGGAATGACTTCCTTAAAAATTTTGATGGAAATCAGCCTGTCACCTTCAGGCAAAATTCAAAAATTCTGTTTTTATCAAGACACCATTAACTTGTCACGTAATCTTTCTGCATTTCCTTTCTGTGCTTGTTCTCAATCTGTGTGTGGATAAATAAGAGCCTCTTCTTTAACATCAACTTTCCCCTCCTGTTTGAATTCTCAGCCATGGCCATGATTAGGAGCTGTGACAGCACAGCCTTCCACAGGGGAGGCAAATGTGATGATAGTTACACTAGACAGGAGCATAAAAGGAAGGTCCAAATCAGGAGATGCAGCCTTTCGCCTAATCACTGTTCATCTCCAGGCTTTGAAGGGAGTGGGCAGCTCTGCACAGGGAGCTGAAGTGGGGAGCAATGCTACTGTGCATGCATTCTGATCACAGGGTATAACTGCAATTTAGATATCTCTTTTTCCACTCTTACTGGAAGAATGTGAGGCTTTAAATTGTTTGACTACTTCCTCAAATTTTGTACTTAGCTTTCAAGAATGATGGGAAAGGATGTTACCAAAAAAATGTCATTTTTTCCAGTTTATTCTCTTTTGTTTCACAGATAGTTTCATTGTTGGAGTATTTCTTCTACCTAAATGTCTTATTTTGATAAATATCTGCCCTTTTCTTCTATGACAGTTTTGTTGATGAACGTCCCTATTTTTAAAAGGACTTACATGATTAGACGTACCTTTCAATGAGAGGATTTTCATGCTTGGAAGGGAGTTACATTCTACCTATGCATATTTCTATGTGGTTCTGCATGGAGGTCTAGATTTTCTTCACAGGTTAAAGATTTGGGGCTGGGATGCAATGCAGTTTTGTCTTTTGGCTGATTTGCCTTCAAGGAGAGGTCCTGAAACTTAGATTTGGCTGAAGCAGCATTGTGTTCTTCTGGCAATCCTGATTCACCCGGTTTTCCTGAACTCTCCTTTTCACTAGCTACCTTTGAAGGAATAAACTCTGAATTTTCTGCATAGCCCCTGGAAGTTTGGGGCAAATCATCTACTTCTTTTCTATTGTCAGCTCTTTCCTGAGGGGGAGGTCTTGAAAGAGCCGCCATGTCTGTATCAACTACCAGAGAAGTAGCAATGAACATAGCAGAGCTTGCTCGTAGTGGCACTGCAGCCTCACTGGGAACTGCAGAATCATCTGGAGAAGCACTAGGGGAACAGGGCTCCTCTGCATTTGGGTCTTCCTCAACACAGGCCTCAAAGAAACATTCAATGTCTTCTTTTTCATCTAAGCCAGAGTCAATCATGTCCAGTAGCAATGGAGTATTACTCTTCTCTTCAATGTAATTGGTGACCTCCCCACAATCACTGTCATGAGATGAAAGGGATAAGTAGGAATAAAAGTCTCCTTTTCTCAAATGGATGGGCCGGTGAGAATGTTCTAACACTTTCTCCTTGATTTGAGTTAATGAAGTGGGAGCAGCCACCTCCTTTTCAGGTTGAGATTTACTTTTTAGGGCTGTTGAAGCCATGTCAATGATTTCCTTAACAAAGTCATGAACAGAACAATCTTCAGCATGTTTTTGATGGAAAACATCTGGCTCACAGTTGCAACAAGAAGCTGTTTCCTCTGTCTCATTCTGTTCAAGTGCTGGGCAGTAAGCAGCAGAATTCCCATCCATACTTGTATCATTAGGAGATTTTGACACATCACAGTCTTGTCTGTTGTTAACTCTGGTTTCTAAAGCCAGTTCTGGGCAAGACATCTCAATAGGAGTGCACTCAGCTCTCTGATTTTCAAAAGGGTGGTGATTTGGACATTCCTTTGGAAAATGTCTTACATTTGGGAGACCAAATTCCTTTCCAGTGGTATCTGAATCATCCGAACCATCCATAGATGCCTTATGCTCACAGTGCTCACTTTCTGAAATCTTCCTACTTGAACTAAGATGCTCTAATGCCTTTGAAATTCCACTTAGCTTATCTTTTTGCCTTTCTGGAGTACTTTCAATATTGCCATTTTCCATATCTGCCACATGAGGATCTTTATTAACTTTGAAAATATTTTTCTTGTTTTCACTCTTTGTTCCAAACTCATGGGTATGGGACGAGGCCTTACTATTTCCATTATTTTCAGAGAGACATTTTAAGGAGTCATTTAGAAGGGTCTCAATGTGTAGAGTATCAGAGGGATTGGTCATCTCACTACCACTTACATCTTTATTGCCCTTTACTTCTTCACTGAGATTACACCGTTTCTTATCTCTTGTCAAGGAAAGTTTTGGCCTAATCCAGGTCTGCAATTCATTCTTAATATAGTCCAGTCCTGACATCAGGTTGCATTCTTCATAAATTTCATCATCTGTTGCGATACTGGAGTCTTCATCATCATCTTTGATGCACAGTTCTTCTTCAGTCAAGGTGAGCGTAGAGCTTGAGAGAAGGTCACTGTCATCTTCATCATCAGTGCAAGCAGAGGTACATGAGACATTAACAATCATGCTGACATTGACATCGCTTTCATCAGCCACAGAGTGATTAAGGCGCTTCCTAAAAGATGCATTTGATTCTGGGATCTTGTTCTTGTGTAACACAATATCCTCTGAGCAAAGAGAGAGTTCGTCACTGCTACTGAGTTCTGTGAGAGATGCTGCCGAGTCTTCATTGATAGAAGACGCTATGTCCAAAGACATTTGGCCAGTGAAGGACATCTTTTGGGAACTGCTTTGAAGAGTGATATCAGAAACACTTCGCTTTATCTTTTGCTCTGAGGGGCTCTGGATATTCTCCAAACGATTCAGGAGGTCTAATGTCCTTTTACTCAGTTCACCAACTGAGCCACTGCTTACACTTATGTCCCCAGAGCTGTGACAGCTAAAAAGATCTTCATTGCTTTTATAGGACGTCAACCAACTTTCTAAAGAAGTACTTCGCTGGAGGCTATCGCTGCCATTTTTAAAGATGCCCAATCCAAATAAGTCACCACCTGGAGAAAGGGACTCAATAGATGAACTACGAGATAAAAGGGAGAACTGTCTGGCATTCTGAATGCCAGTGAATGCCTTCTCCATATCGCCACTTTTATATGAGTTGTGATCCATTTCATGGGATGCACTGGCCAAAACCTTTTCATGGGGTGGTGCATCTGGTTGTAACTCTGAAGTCTGGTGTTTAGATTTGCAGGATTTTTTATCAAAATAAAGACCACGAAGAAGGGGATCATCCACATGTGCCTTTTCACTCTGTGACTGTTTCATTATCATTGGTAATTTGAGTTTTGAGCCTTGGAGGTACGAGTAATCATAAAATGTAAACACATCATGTTTTCCTTGTAATTCTTCTCCCAAACAATCAGGGGTATGTTTGGTAACACTGTTTAAATCTCCAACTTTTCCATTTACACAACCCACTGGTGAAATGGATGACTGAGAACTATTTGGAAGCTTAATGCATTCTTCTTTGTCTTTAATTTTTTGTTTTAACAAATTAACTGCATCTCCAACTTGTGAGTCCAGATGCTCAGTTTCAGGATTACTTGGGGACCCATCCAGCACACTGAGCAAGCATGTTTCAGAGTTGGTAGTCATTTCAGTATCTCCTTCACTGACAATTCCACTCTCACTGCCAGAATTCTGACTCATGTCTCCACTGTGGCATGGACAAGGCTTTACCAAATTGGAACCTCCTAAAATATCCGGCAAAGATTTGGTGGATGAAAATGAAGAGTCTTTACTGAGACTCTTAGTCAAAACATTGGGCTGTGTCATGCTAGTAAAGTTCATATTGTTTTTCAGAAAAGGTAGATGGTTGTCCTCATAGAGTTCAACATTGTGGAGGCTGTACACTTGGTAAATATGTGGACTGGAGGGTGCAGTGATATGTGAGGCATACAGAGATCCCCCAAGGTCACCTGCCCCCTCCTCATAACCTGGGTCCTCATAACTTGTCTCTTCACACTTCAATGGAGGCATTACAGGTTGGGGTTCTTGATCAAGTTCATTTGATTCCTCATTCAAACTAATTAACTTGTTACTTATATCTGTTTCATCCCATTCCAAGGCATCCTCACTCATCCCATTTAGGTCCATCAAACCAGGGTCAATCACATTCAAAGTCTCCTGTGAAAGAAAAGAGAAGAAATGGAGAATTAGGAAATGCAAGCAGGAAAATTTTATGCATTCAAAGTCTCTTAGAAGTTAGGAGCGAAAACTGCATGAGATGTGAAATTGAAAGACAGCAGAATTATTACTTTATCCCTCTATGGAATAACATCATAAAATTAATGAAATGGGATTTTCTATCAAGCCATTTATCACTGAAGGCAATAACGTAGATTAAAAGGTAATCTTATTAGTCAAATTTTAATTTATGGAATTAACCATTTCCAACTGATTCTTCTATATTTTAGGTCTTGGATTGGGTGGAAAAATTGCTAGGTAGATGAAAGTAAAAGAATGTAGACTATGATATCACTTTAGATATATATTCAGCATGCCTGGTGTGGTGGCACACACAAGTAATCCCAGCACTCAAGTAGGCTGAAGCAGGAGGATCACTGTGAGTCCAAGGCCAGTCTGAACTACATAATGAGACGTTGTCTCAAAAAACCAAAATCAAAACAAATAAATAAAAAAGATATATTGACCATCATACTATTTTAGCTACTGAATTTACAGTAGAATATTATCAGCAGCTATAACTCCCTCTTGCCTATATGTCTGGGTTCTCCATTTGAAGCAACCTTTGCCTAGGAATTTAGAATAGAGTTATAGTAACCATTTGAGCCATCTATGAGCCTGAGGCTTTTATCTATCCCCTCTTCTTCTTTCAGGGCTACTGTTTCTTCAGAACACGGACTTGCTTCTAATCAAAGTCCAAATGAGCAACATCAACTGGCTTCCTCACTTACATTTTGTCTAACCCTAAGTATTCCAGGGCAGTTACTTACGCATTCTTCAGTCTCTTACTTCCTCTATTTCTCTCTATGACAGAGCTTACATGTTGATCCTTGTTTGCTAGTCTCACTACTATCAGACCTGCTTCTATTTCTTAGGTTCCTCCCTCTTCATCTCCCCAACCAGTCCCAGAATAATAACTATCTGAAGAATTTCCTATTTTCCAAGGGTGCAGTAGCCCAGACTTCCTTTCAGTGTTCTTTACCTGCTTACTTGGAAAGCTTGCTCTTTCTTTGGACTTCTACCCCTACTAGGTGGAAGTTGACATGTTCTGTTACATGGTAGCTAGATCGGCTCCTGGACTCTGTCTGGATTCCCTCACCACCCTTGTTATCCATCTGTCTGGATTCAAGTTGGAGTCAAGAAAGACGATTCATTCTTTGTCTATGTTTCTCTCCATATCTATGTATCTATACCTATATCTATATCTATTCTGACAGGCTCACCTGCAGGCCATGACAAGTCCTGAAAGGCTCACTTGCAGACAGAAATCCAAACAGAACTTTGCAGCTTAGCTTATGCTCAAGCTTGTAACCCAGTGCATGAGCCTGGCTCTATGCTAGCAGACTGGTTGCAATGCTACCTTTGCTACTTACCAGTTGCATGACCTTGAGAAAGTTTCTTAACCTATTTAGAACTAGTCTCATCACTTGAAAAGTGGGGAAAGCCCTATCTTCCAAGATTATTGACTATTAAGTGACCTAATGATTGTGAAGTGCCAAGAAAGCAGTTAATGTTAGATAGCTATAGTTCAGATATTTTTTAAAAAATAGAGTCTAGGTAGCCCAGACTGGGTTTGAACTCATGGTAATGCTCCTGTATCAGTCTCCCATGGGCCAGGGACTTTCTGACAGGGTCCATTAAGAAACCATTCACTTCAGACTTTAAGTTTTCCCATATTAAAGAAGTGTTACCCTGCCCTTATTTTCTTCTTGCTTTAAATTAAATTTGGTCGCTATTTTCAATAAAATCCTCATTTCCTAATGGTTAAACCTCACCCATAATTTGTCCATACACTGGGGCAAGAAAGTGGGAAAGTTGAAGGACATTAGGGTATTTTTCTTTTAGGAAAAAAGAGAAAGACACGCATGTACAGAGAGATAAGTGATGGGGAGTTATTTGGCCAAATGCTCTCTGTGATGATAGCTCCACATAGATAACAATGGTCAAGCTAATTAAGCATTTATTTTTGTTGTTATTTTCCTAGACAGCTGCTTGGTATTTTCTTTTTTAAAAGCACAAATATTCTTGTTCTTGATAAAGTGACAGTCCCAATAGATATGAGTGAAACTGAAAGGATGCTGAGTAGTGAATAAGATTCCTATGGTAAGCCTGCTATTCCAGAAATAATTTTGGAGTAAATTAATCCATGTAAGGGTCTTTCATTTATAAACCGGCTTAATGGATATCAGAATTCTTTTCTAAATGAAGATACTATAAAAATAATTATACCAGAGAAACTATTTGGTATTTACACATGTGACTTATTTAGAAACCATTCACTTCAGACTTTAAGTTTTCCCATATTAAAGAAGTGTTACCCTGCCCTTATTTTCTTCTTGCTTTAAATTAAATTTGGTCGCTATTTTCAATAAAATCCTCATTTCCTAATGGTTAAACCTCACCCATAATTTGTCCATACACTGGGGCAAGAAAGTGGGAAAGTTGAAGGACATTAGGGTATTTTTCTTTTAGGAAAAAAGAGAAAGACACGCATGTACAGAGAGATAAGTGATGGGGAGTTATTTGGCCAAATGCTCTCTGTGATGATAGCTCCACATAGATAACAATGGTCAAGCTAATTAAGCATTTATTTTTGTTGTTATTTTCCTAGACAGCTGCTTGGTATTTTCTTTTTTAAAAGCACAAATATTCTTGTTCTTGATAAAGTGACAGTCCCAATAGATATGAGTGAAACTGAAAGGATGCTGAGTAGTGAATAAGATTCCTATGGTAAGCCTGCTATTCCAGAAATAATTTTGGAGTAAATTAATCCATGTAAGGGTCTTTCATTTATAAACCGGCTTAATGGATATCAGAATTCTTTTCTAAATGAAGATACTATAAAAATAATTATACCAGAGAAACTATTTGGTATTTACACATGTGTGACTTATTTATTTCACTTAGGAGTATATCCTCAATATGTATCCATTTTCCTAGGAGAAAATGAAAAAATGGAAATAAAATGTTTGTAAATGGGGAGGGGAAGAGCGGGTGAAGGGAGGGCAGGGACAAGGGGAAAAATGAGAACCAAGACCTGTCACAGAAAGGTACAAGATCCAAATAATGAATGTAACTGTACTGTATTGTATACCTAAAAGGTACCAATAAACTCAATGAAGAAAAAAATAATTACATACTCATATCTGCACAGATTAACTCAAGAAACAAATGAAATTAATGGGTGCTAGTTCATTTTATATTTTCATTACTTGCAACAGGTGATTTATGTTAATAGATACAGAGAAAAGTGACCAAAAATGGCTGGAGAAATGGTGATGATGATGATGATGATGAAAGAACAAAGACTGCCTAGGCCAAATTAGTATCATATGGCTTTAATGGAATGCATTTCCAGGATTTTCTTAAAGTTTTAGGTAAAATTATGGGTGTTGATAAGTAATATGAAGCACATCATTATCTAATGAGTGGAGATGAAAAATAATTGACATTCCATAGAAAAACAAAATAGTAGAGATCTGATATGGCTGCCTCTGATTTCTTTCATTTTCTTTAAAAAGTTGAGTTTCTTGAAAGACTTTTCCTAAAATATTTTAAAATGACTAGGATAAACTGAATGTTCCAGTCAAATTTCTGGTGCTTAGAATGCGCAAAACCATTAAGTCGACTTGCAATTTTTATTCTCCCTGTATATTCTAGATCCAGGAGTTTAATGAACAGTACCACATACAAAAACTTGGGAGTAGAGGTTTATCTGTATAAAGGCAGTATAAAACAAAACAAAAAACAAAAATGAAACAAAACATAAAATATATAAATACCATTAATTGTAACTAAATAAAAATATGCTCTTTTGTTCTGCCGCCTGCCTCCCAAGCACAAAGACCTGAGTTCAATCCCCGGTACCAAAAAAGAGGGGGAAAAAAATTCTCTTTTACCAGAGGGTGAAAATTAGAACACATGGAGATCTGAAGGGGTAATGGGGAGACCGGACAACATAATAGATCAGGCTAGGCAAATACACTTAAATTCCAAAATTCATATGTTTACTCTGCTTTTTTTGATGTAGTATGTTTTCTAACCCCTGTTCCAAACATATAACTAAAGTGCCTCAGCATATGAAGTATAACTGTTTTCCATAATTAGGCTTAAGTAGAAATTTTATAAAAATAATGACAATAGCAACAATAATCATGAAGAATTTAGTCTCAGGAAACAAAAAGATAACTTTTAAAAGAATTCTGAGTTTGTAATATTCTCCCTCTTGTAAAGCAGAGAATGATTCAGAGTTAGCAAGAAAAATATAGAAAGAAGTAGAAATATGACAAAAATATACACCAATTGTCAGCCATTTGCAGACTGGAGAGTAGAAGCTAAAACAGATCAGGGTTGAAAACCTAAATACTTCTTTCTCATGTTAACAGTGATCCTGAACAAGTTATTTAACTGCTGTAAGGCTCACTTTCTGCATCTGAGTATTTAGGATAATCTCAGCCCATTATGTCTACCTTTTAGACTATGGGAGCTTTAAGTAAGAACATATATGTGAGGTCCTACAGAAGGGCCTGCTACACAGGAGGAGGTACATACGATGACTGGTAGCTGTCAGTGCGCATTCCCTCATTGAAATAAGGGGAAGATAGCCTAGCTGAATGCTAAATAATTCCAATAGTGTTTGCATCCAGACGGGTGGTTGTGGACTCTTCTCTTTAGTGCAGCCACATGCATGCCATTCAGTAAAATACACATTGATTAGACCCTTTATTGCCACTGTGCTACGAATGGAGTGGTGCATTTCTTTGCATGTCCTAGTTAGGTTTATCTCAAAGGAATAACCAAATGAGAAAGACAGCTGCCAGGCCCCCAGCAAGGACCTTAGCTCAAGGAATTTCTATTTCCTCAAAATATTTTTTTTAAAAGGCAGGTCCATTTCCTGTGAAATCCTATCATGACTGATACATTACAGCAATCAAATTCTT